TGCGGGGCCGGGGCTTGGCAGGCGGGGTGGGGGGGCAGGAGGGCTGTTTGCCCTAAGCCCCGCTCCGCAAAGAGCTCCGGGGGAGGCTCCCGACGTCGTGTGCAAAATGAGGTTATGCACGCGTCCCAGAGAAAACCTGACAAAGGTGTCCCTGCAACGTTATCTTCCTTCTGGTTGCTAGAGATTTTTTTTTTTTTTTTGGTAAATTCTGCAAGTTTGTTGTGAACGGCGCAATTATATAACATTATGCTCCGCGTTAAAATAATTGTTCAATGCAAGCATATTTTAAAAGGACTGCAAAGGTCATTATCCTGTTTGAGCATTTCATTTTGATTGCTAAAAATCCTTTTCTTCTTTTTTAAAAAATTCTTAGTATACGGAATTCCCTTTTTTTTTTTTTTTTTTGCGTTAGAGTCTCCCTCTGTCGCCCAGGCAGAGGGCAGTGGCATGCTCCCAGCCACCACAGCCTGGACCTGCTGGGCTCTGGCGATCCTTCTGCCTCAGCCTTCCAAGTAGCCGGAACTACAGGCGCATGCCACCATGCCCGGCTAAATTTTTTTTTGATTTATTGTAGAGACGAAGTCTCGCCATGTTGCCCGGGTGGGTCTCGAACCCACAGGCTCAGGCAATCCACTTATCTCCGCCTCCCAAACTGCTGGGATTACAGGCTAAGCCACCAAGCCCGGCCAGAATTTCTTTTTAAGAAATAAAATGAGCCGGGCTTGGTGACTCAGCCTGTAATCCTGCGCTTTGGTACGCTGAGGTGAGTGGATTGCCTGAGCCCGTGGGTTTGAGACCAACCTGGGCAACTTGGTGAGACCTCAATAAATCAATAAATCAGCCGGGCGTGGTAAATCAAAAAATCAGCCGGGCGTGGTAGCATGTGCCTGTAGTTCCAGCTACTTGGAAGGCTGAGGTGGAAGGATCGCCGGAGCCCAGCGGGTCAAGGCTGCGGTGGCCGGGAGGGCCACTGCACTCCAGTCTGGGCAACAGGGTGAGACTCCAACTCAAGAAAAAAAAAAGAAAGAAATAAAATGACCAAGCTCTTTTCTTTGTCTCTGCCCTGGGTGTGGCTTTCTCCCGTCCTCCCCCAAAGCATCACCACCTTTGAGATGCTGTTCTCAGGCCCTCCTGCCCAGAATCCTCTCCTGCCTGTGAGCTCAGGCCAGGCCTCACCCCCCAACTAAGGCCACAAGCCCTGATGCCTCTCCTGCTCAGCCACATCTTGTTCATCCTTGTCGTTTGGGGCTTGATGTAAACCCTCTTGAACTTCAGATCATCCATCTTTCTGTTCAGCCGTGTCTTTCCTGCTCATTGCATCTTTTCCTTCCTTCTTGTACCCACAGCCTCTCAGTGAGCTCTGCACACATTAAGTGCTCAATAAACCCCTCCTTGGGCTGCTGGGATCACGTTCACCATGCTTGTTTGCGGACTGCCCTGAGGGAATGTCCTTCAGGATGGCCACTCTTCATCAAGGGTCCTTGGGTGCGCTTCAGGGGGCTCCATGAACCCACTGAAATTGTGCAAACTCTTCTTTGCATGTGCAGTTTGACCGTGAGAGGGTTCCTAGCGGCCACTGGAGTCTCAAAAGGGCTATGACCTTAAAAACACGGTGAACTCCTGCTCTGAGGCACTCCAGTCTACGGCAGAGAAATAAATGAAAGAGCTCAGTGGCCTCATCTGAAAAATGGTGTAATGACAGGCGCTTGCCTGGGAGGAGTGTTCAGCAAATGCAATGATGAGTGTCCCTGATCTGGTCCCAGAAATGCCTCACAGGAAGGACTTGCCCCCACCCTGCAAGACCACACCTTCGGTGAGGGGCTTCTCAAACTTGGCGAATCATTAGAATCTTTGGGGAGCTTCAAAAATACAGATTCCTGGGCTCCATTCCAAGAGTAAACAAGCAACCATTGCTAGGAGAGGGCCTGGAGCTCTGTGTCTTCATCAAGTCTCCTCAGTGGTTCTGAGAACAGCAAGGTCTGGGCCAGAGGCTCCGCTTCCCAGCATCTCAACCCACACACGGACAGACATTCTCACCCCCTGCCTTGACTCGTTCTGGGAGGTACATGTGTTAGAGGAAACTGCCCCAGTCTTTGAGGGAAATGTGGGCTGCAAAATCTTTCAGAACAAAGAATTAAGTATCTTTATAATTATATCCAGGCCTATATTTAGGCCGTGGCTCATATGGCCTCTTGAACTTCAAATAAATACCTATTCTGTTCCTTGTTTAAACAGGTGCAACACTATCAGTGGAGACTAGATTTATCCGGGCAGGAAGGCGGCTCCCACAGCTGTCAAAAGCACACTGCTCTTTCATTCCTCATGAGAGGGGGAGCTAATTACACTGTCATCGAGCAAAATAAATTTACAATTTCTACCCCTGAGCTCAAGTAACCACTCAGGGCAAACTTTCTTCTGGTCTGTTCTCTGGCAGGATTCAGGGCCCTCGGATGGTGCAGAGGCCACCGCAGTGGGGCAGTTCTGGCCTGGCAAAGCCTGCTGTCCCCAGAGTGTCTGCCCTCTCACGCAAACACACACACACACGTACACCCACTCATCACGTCTCTCATACATGTGTACACACACTCACGTGTACACACTGATGCACAACTCTCACATTCATGCAACACACACTCTTACACACCCACACACAACTCTCACACTCACACATGCTCACATTTGCACAACTTGTTCACACTCATACACATACACAAATTCACGTATTCACACTCACACGTGCACAGATTGGCTCAAGTTACACCCATGCACACACACGTTCTCACACACACACACATACACCCCTCCTCTGATGCCAGAGTCACCACCCAACCCTGGCAGTTTATTCCTGTGGACCCCAGATTTGCAGTTCCTGGGGCGCTTCTCAATTTTAGCACTTAAATGTCTCACATCCTGGGAACGCCTGTCCCCCAAAGTCATGGGCAAGCAGGGATGCTGGTCACCCCAAGATGCACCCACCCAGGGAGAGGCCTGATGTACTTTGCCAGCCTGTGAATAAGGCTGTCACGCACGCTTCTCAGAGGGGCTTTCAGGGATTCCGACAGGCCCCATGGTTATCAGACCAGTAGGCTGGCAGACAAGTGCATGGACCACCTGGGGACACTGGCCAGCACCTTGGTTCCCAGTCCCCACCTGCACAGAGTCTAGTTTAATTGGCTGTGATGGGACTTGGGCATGGAAAAATGTTCTGAGGCTCCAAGGTGACCGCAGTGTGCAGCTGGGGTTGAGGATCACTGAGTCCAAGCCAAGGGGACATCAGCCAGGCCATTTCCCATTGCCTTTCTTACCCCTCATGAGGGTGAACAGGGCTAAAGTGTAGCCGGCACAGGGCGGAGGTGTTGCCAGACCAGAGCAACACTAAACCTCCCTTCTCCTGGGCTTTAAAATGGACTTAAATCCTATAAACTGACACACGGTCTTGTGCATTAAATCACCTAAGCCCAGTTTACAAATAAAGACTTTCCAGTGATGCCACTGGCCAAGGAACTTTCAATCCAAACCTTATTTTCAACCAAAAGAAGCTTTCCGAGCAGCAGTTTTGACTGTGGTTCACCCCCACAAAGGCAGGAGTCCTCTCAAAAAGTACCTTTGTGGTTCACCCCCACAAAAAGACCGTCCTCTCACTGAGTCAGTATTACCATGACTGCTCTCTTAGGAGGGACTTTGGAACCAGCTGATGTTGAACTTGTATCCTTTCTCTCTTCTTGTTGGCTGTTACTGCACAGATTAAGGAAGTTACTTAGCTATTCTGAGTCTCAGTTTCCTCCTCTATAAAAAGTGCATAACAATACCTGCCTCAAAAGGTTTTTGCTAGTCTCTCGTGACTAGCCCTGGTCCTGGCTTAGTGTGGGCGGTGAGTAAATGACAAGTGACAGCTATTGAATAAACATGAATGGGGAGGCTGTTTTATTCTCCATATTGTACCACAGTGCTTCCATCAAATCCAAAAGAAGGCATTCTTTTCTCAAGCCACATAAACGATTCAGTTCATGGAAAGTGCTGAAGTGACCTAAAATGACATGACTGTATCATCTCACATTCTGGAGGTCAGAAGTCTGAACTGGGATTCACTGGACTAAAACCAATGTGGGCAGGGCTGTGTTCCCTCAGGAGGCTGGAGGGGAGAATCCACCCTCCTGGCTGTTCTGGCCTCTGGAGGCTTCCCGCATTCCTTGGATCGCTGTCTCGGTCTTCATCCTCAAAACTAGCAGTTCAAAGAACCCCCCAAAACCAGCAGTTCAGCGTCTTCAGATCCT